AAGATTAGTAATAAATTAAAAATTTTACTTGTAATAAATATTTACATATATTTAACGATTTCCGTATAGTTATTTCTTGATAATTATAAAGCTGTTATCGATTTAAATAAAATAAAAATATATTTTATGTATTTCATATAGATTTGTGGTGTGTATCTTAATGATGAATTTAATTGCAAGCCTGCTCGCGGAACTTCGAGAAAGCTATGAAATTTATATAAATATGAATATGCACTCGAGGATACAAATTAAACCGATCACGGACTTTTACGATACTGGCGTGGGCAAAGCTCACGTCACTGCCTTCAAGATAGCAAACCGACCCACTCGATGCTCAACTTAAATCCTCGTCGCTGCAAGTGGGAAAAAAAGTGAAGAGTTGAAGTCTCGAAGTCGTAAAATTCATAAGAAGACGATTTTACATCTCAATCCTTGTGATTTTATTGCTGGCCTCCAACGTAGAATTATTTATAAGGAAAGTTTCGAGAGCTCGCGAGAGTTAGATGAATGTATAAAAACGCGACGGGCATAAATTTGAAGAAAATGTTTATATGCATAATGCAGAAATTTTTTAAAATCTGTTTAAAGTCTAAGATTTAAAAAATTTTTTAAATTTCTAAAATTTACTTGAAATCAGAAGACGAATGGAACAATGACGATAATCGAAAAAAGGGAGGACGTTTCTATCCTTCATTGCATAAAAAAAAAAAACCAAACTCGATATTTCTAATAAAGATAATCCAATCCCCTCTTTCCCAAATTTAATATTCTGTCATTAGAGTCATCGCGCGAATGGTTGCAGAAACTTGATATTAATTTCGACATTAACTTCAGCGTTTGCACTTTTGCCCAAATATAGCCCGAGAGTGGAACGGACCAAACGGGCGCGGATTTATGCGGGCACGTCGAGGTGGCGTGACGTCGTCGATTTAGTGCGTACGCGTGGAAAACCGACGACGCATGTTTCACGGTGCGACTGCCCACGATGGTTCGCGCTCGCGACGCCCACGCCGGTGAGATCCACCGTCGAGAAACCACCGGGAACCGCTCGTACACGCGGAGGTCAAAGACTCCCCCTCACCTTATCCGACCTCGTCTTACGAGCGAGCCGCCGCGAATTATTGTTCCCTTCGGCGTGCCGTCCCTTAAATTATGCAGCCTCTCGGTGTGTCGGCGGTAGGTGTTGTTGCCATTAAAAGCCGGGGGAAACCAGTCTCTCCTCTCTATCCGAGGAATCCGTCGTCATCGTCACCGTCATCGTCGTCGTTGTCGTCGCACCTTCGGCCTTCCGAGGTGACGCAGGTGACGCGGAACAGTGCGGTATTGTACGTTAATCAATCAAAATTGTCGGATGCATGCTCGGCCGCGTTTGCACCAAAGCGGCAAATTCTTCTAGCCTCGCATCGCGCGAACGTATATACCGACAAATGCAAACGACCGATGATGATGAATTCAATTCGTTAAGTATTAATGACGCTAATAAGGACGGCCGCGTCGTAATAAATAATTGGTCGCGAGACGTAAAGGGTCGCAGGAATGCGCGCGTACTTCACGCGAAAGATACGCGAATGATAAAATCGCACGTAAATATATATATATATATACTTTCCAATTACAACACTTCAGTACCTCAGCTCGCCTGATATATCGCCGTTATTATATATTTCTAGGTTCTAACGTCCATTCGCGCGCGATTGAGTTCGCCGCGCGAGAAGGCACGTTATCGTCGCCGCGCGATTATCGCGCTGAACGCGCTTCTAATCATCTCGGCACGCCGGAGAGGATACCGAGGCGGTTCCGCATCGCCTCGGGACCCGCTCGGCGTTTATCATCGGGCCGCGATCGAGCGGAGCGAGCGATTCGTTAAGGAGTCAGCGACTCCGGCACGTTTCGCATCTGCGTTGCAGAGGAGAAGCGAGAGACAACAGCTGCGAGCTACTCGTCTCTCCCCCCCCCCCGGTGGATCGCGTTGGTCATACGCCGAATGTAATTCATAGTCACACGCTCGCACACCCGGCGATTACTTGCCGCTCCCTTGCCGCATAGGTGCCTTCGTTCGAAGCACGAGCTCGAAGAACGAGCTGTTTATGCGTATTTATGCGCTTCGCGGCCCGCGGAGACGAGCCGACGATTAGAAAATCCCCCGGCGTCACGTCTCTACATCACGTGACACGCTCGCCGCTCCATTATATCAACCCCACGGGGGCTGCGGACTGACCATTTCTAAATTGTCGCAATCACCACGATATCCATCGCCGGGCGATCATTCACATCTCGCGAGAACTAATTTATGAAATGTCTTCGAAATAAATTCCGACGCTACACTTTAATTATCGATCCGGGGAGAAGTTATTGAGTTATTCAGTTTCTGAACTTGTTGACTCCGGGGGATGAATAAAGAATAGGCTGTGAATTCGCATACGACAGTAATATCGCGCGTCGTAATCATCTCAGTAATTGAACTCGGCCACACGATGCTCACGGTTGCAGAGTCATATTGCATATTGTATTTTTAACGCTCGGTTCATTATAGGCAAATGAAAAAAAGGAGTCGAGTAGCGGCCCATTAAAGACACAATGCACGCACGTGTGTGTGCCGACATAAGACGTAACGTAGAACTCAATCGCACGCATATTGCGTACAGAGTGTGCTAAAACTATTGTACGTTTATTTCAATCTTGACAACTCGTGACAAAAATCATTTCTTCTCGATAAAATACTAAAAATATTTTTTAATTCTTTTTATTTTATCTTAATCGCTAATCTTCCAATAATTAAAAATAAGAAGCTTATATTCCTCTAGTAATTTCAAATTAACTTTAATATAATTTTTGTAGCTTAATTACGAAGATAAAAAAACTGGAGATAAATAATAATCTTACACAGATAAATCTTCTGTGAAAGTAAATAGAATAGAAAAAAAAATACATAATGGCGTTTCCTGACGAAGGCAATTCGACGAAGGAAAAGCACCGTCTAATCTCGACCGGAGGAGCCGCGATAAAAAGCACTTGTTCTAATTCCGGTACACCCTGTATATATATCTCTCGTAACGTTGCCAAGAAGAAGGCCGTAAGTCCGGTCACATAACGGTCCAGTTATGGTATGGCAAGGAAACGATCTCTCGCCTCGACACACGATTCCCTCGTTACACCAACGTGTCTTCCACCAGCACCACCATCACCATCACCATCATCATCACCATCATCATCACACCATCGCCACCGTATTTCCGTCCACCACTTTGCTTATCCCCCGGCCACTACTGATGCGCCTCGTTTCTTCGAGCGTGTACTCGCGCGTGTATTCACGCCTCGATATTTCCTTCCTTTTTTTATCCTTATCTACGTCTACGAACGTATGGGTGATCGCGATCTTTGCGGCGACCGCGATATACGTGTCGAGATATTCGACCGCAAACAACCATGTATTTCTTTTCCCTCGGTGTGTGTACATTGTGGCCGTGGTAATAATAATAATAATAATAATAATAATGACATAATGACGTAATAACAATAGTTGCAATAATATTAGGCATGTTAATAACGCTTGCGTCGCGTGACTGTTGCGATAATATCAGTGCTTGTTACATAGGATTACATCTACATCATACAGAATTTCCTTCCTCCGGACTCTGAGATACTCTTCGGTATCTTTGATAGGAAATATTTAAGTCTGTTCAATTTTCCTCACGCAATATTAACGACGACATTTTTACTAGCTAATTTTCATCGTCTAATTTTTCACTCGTCAAGTGAATTGGACGAAAAAATTCATCATATACTAATGAAAATAATATACATAATTTTTCTACTCGTTTTTCGCTCATTTAATTTTATACACTTAACATATGTTGTACGTAATAAATACAACAAATTAAAATTCTGGCTCGAAGCAACGAATTAACGTACGGCCGTGATGCCGTAATGCGCGATAAGTGCAAGTTTCCGAGTCAGGTGTGTCGGAATAAGCAGGGAAAATGAAATGAATGGAGCTTGCGTCACGCACGAATCGAAGATTACGAGTATCGCCACCGATTTATACCTCTAATCGAACTCCTCGTGCCTTTCGGCACGATAATTTCGATCCGTGTCCGTCATAAAGCAGGAATATCGTTGGTAATTACCGCTACCGTCGAATACCCGGGAAATTGCCGCGGCGCACTTAAACGGGTGGAGAGGCGATAAACCGAATTAAAACGATCGGTCAAAGGTGCAGCAACGGGTGATGCAACGTAATAATGGTGGTTGCCTCCCCCTCCCGCCTCCTTCTCCGCGATAATTCCATGGCGCTTGTTAAGATAATAGGTAATAATTTAATTGGCTTGCACACGATAATTTACACCGCTGTCTATCGGGCGATAAACAACGAAGGAAGATATATATATATATATATATATATATATATATATAGGAACAGAACTAGGCACAAAGACGAATTTTAAAAAATTTGTAGACGCACACGACGCAACGAAAAGTCACGCACAAAGTGTCTCGAGTGATGTAAAGATGATTCGTAAAGGGAAAACTCACCAATTCGGTAGGCATGGTGTTGCAGGATCTGAGCGGCAGATTGTAGATGATCGGAGCGGGCTGACTCCTGTACTCTTGCAAACAGGAACTGTTCTTCGACAAGCCGCGTGGATAGACCAGACCGTGGAAGTCCGTGTTGCCCTCCGTCGAGATGTGAACTATTATCGACTCGCTCGCGCACTCGATCTGCACGGTGCTCGCTATTGTCGCGGTCGCTGAAAAAATTAAAATCAACAAATGAATAGGCAGACACGTTACATTTCGAAGAAAAAAAAATTATTTATTACAACATTCTTGCTTATACATGAGAATGTACACAGGAAAAAAGGTTAATCTCAAATCAAGAAAAATATTTTCACGTATAAGCAAGAATATTATAATCTTCTTAAAAATCTTTTAATCTTCATTTGATTGAATTTATATTGACGCAAGTGTTACTTTTGCTCGACTTAAGATCCCTTATATGAAAATTATAATATTGCTTGCTCATATATATATATATATATATATATATATATATATGAGAATATCTGTATTTCTATCAATACTAAAATTATTTTATGAAGATTATAATATTCTTATATTCTTATGAGAATATATAATCTTGATTTAAGACTAATTTTTCTTTTGTGTAATAGATCCAAGCCAAAAAAATCCTAGGGCAGATCTAAAGATTACAAGTTAAGGAATTTAATTCACGGATTATCATTGTATTCGATAAAATTGAATTTAGATCGTAAATGTTAGATTGGAGGTGCGTCATCGAACATCGATATATTTTCTGGGCGTCAATGGCGTAACGGTGATCACTTCGCGCGATTAATTAATTCGATATCCGTACGCTGTATTCGTACGCGTCAGATATACTTGAATGAGCAGCGACGCTCAACGATACGAATCGAATACACTCATCGAACGAACCCCATGTATCACTATCGCGCGGACATTGTATTCGTCGTACGGTAATCTGTCGTTATTAATGCCCGACACGTCGGACGAATCGCGTAAGTTAATAGCCCGAAGTTTAATAACCTCGGCTCACCTGTTACGAATTGCTCTCTCGATTTCAAGAATGCGAGAACGTCAAATGTAAATAATCATTTAACATCTCTCCGCCGTTGTTCATCACAATCGAAAATGCTAAAAAAGGTGAATGGTCTTCAATTGACTTCTCGTGGCGAAAATTCCACAATACCGATGGAAATTGGCTCGTATCCGTTGGCTCGCGATTAATTAAGCAATAAAAATGCGATTCACGCACCGAAACGGTAAGTATTGCTTCTGTGAGCGTGAAATCACGTGGCGGCCGCTCGGCGTTACAATTTCGTTCATCAACTTCGCGCGATCGCATTACAATTAGCGGGAACTTCAATTAAATGCATTGCGAAGCCGCGGCAATGGGTAAAATTGCGGAGTCAGATCACAGTATTTTCTTTTTCTCTTTTTTTTTTTATGCGCGATGAGAATTAAACACGCAGCGAAATGAATGGTTATCGTTAACAATGGTTCGCGCATCGATGTTAGCGATCGCGGCGTACACAAAGCAACGCTTTCGATATTACTTTTTATTTACACGCTCAGTAAAATATCGTCTCGTTAGCCTGATGGGGGAACGTAATCGATCAAATCTACCATTACCAGTAATTAAAACGGTGCCCGTGCACATTCATCGCGTCTAATGAGGCCGCGGATTATCGCCTCAGAAAATTCATTAAAACTACCTCAGGGCGATGAACAGAGAACACGGCGCCGAGTAAATTGGGAGACTCGCGTATCTTTTACCGAGTGCGAGTCGTAATGACAATAATCATCGGCGGATTATCATTATCAGCCCGCAGGGAAACAATGATGGGAGAGTTGTGAACTTGACTTGTTGACTTTGTAGGCAGTCACGTCGAATATACCAGTGCTCTCTTCCTGTTTTTGTCATGAGGTGTCTTATTTAGTCATTATCCGTCATGGAAGTATCGCGACATGTCGATAATTGTTTTTGTAAAGTAAGATATTTCTAGACAGAAAAAAATTAGCCTTAAATCAAAATTATATATTCTTATACTAAACAAGAATATTAATGATTTTCATATGAAGAATTTTTAGTCTTGAGTTGAGCAAGAGTAATATTTGCATCAATATAAATTCATCAAACAAAGATTAATATATTTAACAAGATTATAATATTCTTACTTATATGTGTGAGAATATTTGTCTTGATTTAAGACTTATTTTTTTGTGTAATCAGAATAATCCAAGATATTCGTTTATTAAACAATGAGTATGTAAAAGATCGACAAACGAGCAAAAATAAGTATCGTTTAAAATAATAATCAAAATATTTATTGATAACATATATCGAAAATACAAGTAAAAATAACATAAATAAAATTTAAAGTTGGACGTTTCGCTTACACACAGAACCTTCATTAGAAAAGAAAGTGATGCTAATAACCGAATATATAAAAATTAATAAAACATAAAAAAGAATAATCGGAGGCTATTAATGCATTATTATTTGCATCATACGCGCATATTTTTTTAGATTTAAGTTAAACATTTTGTAAGCATACATATTCTCTTTATTAGTTATTATCAGTTAGAAAAATATTTTTTTACAAAGAAGTGTGATAAGAAGTACATAAATATTAAACGTAACGTATAAAAATCAGTTTTATATATATATATAAAGAAAGTATATTTATATTCATTTTTTACTTTCTCTCGTCTGTCATTTCTTTTACGTTGGTTTCACGTTGGCAGTCTTGGGCAAGATAGATAATTACGGAAGTCCCAATTTTCAATTGGACAATCAAAAGTCATGTTTGACGAGCGTTTCCTTAGTGCTATTGAGGTGTTCTTTCTCATCATTGAATTGAGGAACGATGCCCAACCGCGAAGCAATTAACGGCACGCGAAAAGTTAAATGGCACCGCTCCTCGTAACGTTGGGCCTTTGATCACCGTCGGAAATATCGAGGTGGGACCTCAAGAGAATCTCGGAATCCTCGAGGTCGATGACCGGCCATGTTCATGCTTCCATGCTATTTATTTCGGCTTTCCAACGTATAACGGATTCAGAAAAGAAAAGAAAAAAAGAAATAGAAGA